ACCATTTTCTGAGCAGTTTCCTCTCCTCCAGTCACACTGGCCACCCACTTCCCTGACCTGCTGCCAGACATGCTTCTGTCACAGGCCCTCCATAAGTGATGCTCTGCTCCCAGACAACAATATCTGCCCAGTTCAGCTCTCTACCCAAAAGTTACCTCATTGAAGAAGTCTCTCCTGATCTTCCTACTGAAAGGAAATAGTCTCCATTCTCTACCACTCTCTGTTCTCTATCATGCCACTCTCTGACATTAAACAATATGTCTGTTCATTCATTGTGGAATGAATAAGGCCCAGAAAGGCCAAGCTTCTGCTATTCTCCACTGGATCCTGGCTTATAGCACTGAGCCTGGTATAGACAGAGTGAAATAATATTCATATTAATATCTTTATTTGGATGCTACCCTATCAAGTGTTATTAATATAGAGAGTGCCTGAGCACCTCATTACCCATATTACAAAATGACATTTATCAAATCCAGAAAGCTAGAAAATAATGATGTGACTCACTATGAAGATATGAAACAAAGTAGGGAGAAACACTTTTAAAGAAGACTTCTTAGACATCTTTCTCCTGGTTGAAAAGACAGGGGGAAAGTTAACATATAATACACTGATACATCTAATACTTTGCTGACAAAGGTCTGTCTAGTCAAAGCTATGGTTTTTCCAGTAGTCATGTATGGATGTGAGAGAGAGTTGGACCATAAAGAAAGCTGAGCATCGAAGAATTGATGCTTTTGAACTGTAGTGTTCACTCTTGAGAGTCCCTTGGACTGCAAAGAGATCCAACCAGTCCATCCTAAAGGAAATCAGTCCTGAATATTCATTGGAAGGACTGATGCTGAAGCTGAAACTCCAATACTTTGGCCACCTGATGCAAAGAACTGACTCACTAGAAAAGACCCTGATGCTGGGAAAGACTGAAGGAAGGAGGAGAAGGGGACGACAGAGGATGATAGTTGGATGGCATCATCGAGTTGATGGACATGAGTCTGAGCAAGCTCCAGGAGCTGGTGATGGATAGAGAAGCCTGGCATGCTGCAGTCCATGGGGTTGCAAAGAGTCGGACATGACTGAGCAACTGAACTGAACTGAATACATTGATGGCACAAAAAGATATTTGAGCCCCGTTTTTTTATGCCTTTGCTTTTATCATCTTTAGGCCATCCTCAAGTTGAAGAAACTACATTTTATTTTCTTGAGATGAACTTACTTATCTCACTTTTCAAATATTAACCGCAATTTGCTGTGTGTTAGGCCCTATGCTAAGCACCTGGATTACAAGGGGAACTTAGACAGAACCAAGGAGGGCAAATTCGAGGCAGAAAGAAAACTAAATCCCTATCATTATCTTTGCCAACAAGAATTGCTGATTGTGGCAAATCTTATAACATCTATATTCCAATTCAAAATGCTAGCACTACAGCATACTTACAGTTGGTGTGCATTGCTGTAGGGCAGAAACCAATACAACATTGTGAAGCAATTATTCTCCAATTAAAAATTTTAAAACTTTTTCAAAAAATATGTACACCTGGATAACAAATTATTGTAATAGTTTTCTATTCTTCTTGGGCCATGTTCTTTAAATTTCCTAGTAACAAACCAAGAAAACTATTTTGACAACAAGCTAGGTATTTTCTTAAAACACAACTGAGCAAAAAAAAAAATTGATCACTTCATATTTTCTGTAAACCACTGCTGCCATTTTCATATGCCAACACTACTGCAAACTGAAGCTGTCTTAAGTCCAAGGATGTACCCAGTTTTTCTTTCCTACAAAAGCCTAGTATTTCTTGTACTCTTTTTAATAGTAAAGATACAAATTTAAGAAGTCAAGAAAAATGCCAGGCTCCAGAATTTTATAGTGTTATGATAACACTGACTACTATATTTCTACTTTCCATGACATGTACACTAGGATTATTAGATAAATAACATATCCAATCCTTTTTTTCAAGTCCGTGTGAAAAGAGATAAGGAAAGCTGAATGAATTTGCTGCACCTGTTATCTGGGTATTTGGCACCCTTAACAAGTTAAATCTCCAGGAAGCTAGATTAATAGATGACAGGGAAAAAAAATGTATACTGCATTATAATCTTCGACATGCTAATATACAAAGAGGGCTGAAAATTCAATTGAAAGAGGACTGGCTTATTAAACTGTGGCATGCTGCAATTTACATATCTCACCCTCCAGATGTGAGGAGGGTAAATGAGAATGAAGTGTGTTCAGATCAGCAGGGGGTAGGAGGAAAAACACATATACACTTTGGCTATCAATTTGGCCAAGTGGAGAAAGTGACACAGTGAAAAGATTGACTTTTATTCCTCCTAAAATAAATCTGGTCTTGCTACTGCTTTGCTACATTCTGGATCAGCACTGAAGACAGCAGGACTAACCCTAGCTGGTTGTTCTGTGTTCCAACAGTTAAGGGTGAATGTAGATGCCCAGATGACCAGAAAACCTACTGCAATGGGGCCCTGCTGATGGTGCAGGATGGCAGGATCTTTGTGGAAAAATGGGGACCAAAACTAGCAGCAGGTGCTTCCCCAAATACCCACCATTAGTGCTAGACAGTCAGTAAAAGGAGAAACCACTATGTCCTCAGAAACACATATTATGTCAATTATTTCACAGCTTAGAGCGCAATCCAACACAAAATCCTAATATACTGAAAATGGTATAAATTTCTCATAGTCAGCCATTACTCTCAGCCTATCTCCTCTCACACATGCATGTAACCCTTGATAACTTTCAAATACTCAGAAGAAATACTAAAGAAACATTTAACTGATTTATTTTTAATTAGGGGTTTCCCAACAGACCACAGGAAATGTTGGTGAAATGGAATGGTAAGAGGGAATAAAAAAAGGTAGGAGTAAGATAAGCAGTCACAAAATACAGCCATGAAGTAATCCTCAGTGGGAATGCTGGCATTTCATATTTATAAAGTAGGTACAAACTCACTTAAAATATATTATTTGCTGTATAGATAAGTAGTTCTAAAAATCTCTCCCTTTGCTTTCAGTTTTTGATGAGGGGAAATTTAAAACATTTATAAATAAAACAGAAGAGTAGAACAAACCCCATGTACTCATCATCCAGATTCAACAGTAACTAACGTTCTGTCCTTCTGGCTTCATCTGTACCTCTATCCATTCATCTTTCTATTGCTATTATTACATTTTTAAGTTTTTAAGGTAAAATTTAGATATTTAGAAAGCATAAATACTGAGTGTACAACTTTGACAAATGAATTCATCCATGGAACCCACACACCTATGATGACACAGCACATTCTGCCTCTTCAGAAAGTTCTGTGTATCTCTTTCTCAGTCAGACTGCCTACAGGTAGAATAACATTTATTCAACAGGAGGCATTTTTTTTTCTCCAGCACAGAAAAAAAATTAAGGAAAGCCAACCCCTCGAATCCAGCAAGCTTTATATTTCAAGCTGCACAAAGGCTTACTATAGCCAGTTTTTATAATAAAATGACAGTAGGAATTTGACCCCAAACTAAATCCAACCATTCTCTTCACAGATAATATTCAGATATAGAACCTGGAGGAAAAAAAATCAGGACTTCAATAACATACAGCAAAAAGCACTACTTCTGGAGCTATTTATCTTTTTGTTTATTCCAGTAACACCCCAAACAAAATTAAAAGTTCATAAACACAATCCAAGAAATGAACAGTAATACCACAAAGTGGAAAAATAATAACAGCAGTATTATATAATGAAATTTCTAACCACTCACTACAGTGGTCCATACTTGGCAGATCACATTAAATCCTCTATCCCTGCTCTCTAGAAAAGCAGAAACAGTAGCAACAGCAGCAGGAACACCGCAAATGACATTTACAGCAGCTAAAAAGTATTAGTGATAGAGAAGAAGGGATTCAAAGCTAGTTCACTATCTCCATTACATTCTTCTGATTCCACGTGTAATAGCACAACACAGATAAGCATACACACTATTAACATCACATATAAAGTGACATTTTGTTACGCTTACTTTAGCCTCGGTGTGTTGTTTTGTTTTGTCCTTGTCCTTCAGTCATGCTGGCAAAATCCTTTTCTCTTCCACACAAGTCCCCACTTTGCCCCTTACAGAGGAAAACTCAACCCACAATCTTGCACTCTTGGAGAAGGAGTGGGAAGAAGCCACCCTCCCTCTGTCCCTCAAGCTAGTTCTTCCTTCCAGAAGTAACTGGAATTTACACACCTGAGGAGAGAGAGCCTGAAAATGGGCTAGATGCCTGATGGCTGTGGTGTTGCTGGGCAGAAATGGCTTCTGTTTGGACTCAGGCTCTGTGCAGACAGGGGTAAGAAGACAGGGTGGGCCTCTGCTTTCGGCTCTAGCTGCCCCACTTGCTCTTGGGCGGAGCTACTGGTGAGGTGAGCCCTTCCCCAAGGACTGGTTATCCACCGTCACTAGGGAGCAGAAGGAGGCCTTCTCTGGGCCTCAAGCCCTGGTCACATTCTTTGCCATTAGTGAGACCGATACTGTGATCAGCATTTGAATCTTAGGTCTCTTTCCTAAACTAGTTACAAGGTGGGAAGGGACGATGTAACTAACTAGGATCCCAAACTTCCAAGAAGCCATGATCTCTACCCTTAGTCTCAGCTCACTACCCCCAGACCACATCTTTCCCTTTTTGGTGTCTCTCCAGCTGCACAGTCCAACATAAATATGCTGAGGTAGGTGCCAGCGAAGCATCCAGAAGGCTACTCTTCTTCACAGTCTGGCTGCCTGCAGCTCATGTAAGCCCTCATCACTGTTTGGCAGTCCTTTCCTGTTCCCAGGGGTGCCCCACCCCTCCTCTCACCCACCCTGACCATTCCTCCCACCACCACCACCAGCAACACCATCAGTGACGCCAACACCATCGACAACACAACTAGCACCCCCACCACCACCTCCGTGAATGCTCCGAGTTGCAAACTGCCAGGACAAGCATTCAACCACCGTCTTGCCAGCGCTGCTGTTACCTTGTTTTCCTCTGGAGTAAAGAGGATTCGGAACACGGATGGCACTCCTGGAGCGACTTTGTGGCTGATACCTTTGGGGCTGATTACTTTAAAGTAAGGTGAACTTTCCTCAACAACTTTCACCATCCTTGGAATCTGCAAGAAAAAAAACAATAATGGGCACTGTTATTGAAATTTTTTATTTTATTATTTAAATGTGACTATTTTTGAAAACTAACTGCTTAACCGTCTAAAACCCCACCTACATTGGGGAGCTGCACTGGGCTTTTTAACACCTGAGAACTGCTCTGGGAGAAGAAATCACACTGCACTCCTGCTGTGGCTCACCCACTGTACATGAGGCACCACTTGATCCTCGCAATAACCTTTGAGCTTCATTACAATTCATTCTTCAGATGAGGAAACAGACACTTGCCCTAAGAGTTACAGCTTTTCCAAGCAATGGTGTTCAGAATCAAATCCTGGACTAACTCTACCTCCCTTCCCTACAGGATTGCCCTACCCAACACTACTGTGAAGCAAGAACATAGAGGGAGGTAGAATATCCCCAAGGCCAGTCTTGGAGCAGGTTCAAACAATTCCATCCTTTTAAAGTCTTATTCTTCTGCCCTGCTTGCCTCACCCAGAGCACATACACCTATTTTGGATAGCCCCCAGCAATAAAGGAAATATAACTGTGAGAAGAGGTGTGGTTCAGAGGTAGAGGTTCTAGGGACACAGGAATAGGAGAGGATTTTTTTTTTTTTAAGAAAAAAAAAAAAAGATTTAAAGGCAGCAGAAGAAAGTTAACTATAGCTAAGTCTGTCCTAGGAGTCTCAGGTAGAAAATGAGGAAATAAGAAACCCCACAGCCTCTCATGCTGGAGCCCAGATGCGGAAGGGAAGAAGAAATGCAGAGAGAATTCAGACAGATCTTAAGACTAGAGACTGGGGAGGTAAGAAAGAGATGTGTGCCTATTTGATAGGAATAGAACTGGCTTTGCTATTAAGAGAAAAGTTCAATGGCATTCGTGATGTGTTGAATGATGTCATATAAGCTTGTTGGGAATACTTGTAGTAAGATCATAACTGTGGATTAAAAACTAGAAAGGAAAGCAACAGCAACACTGGTAATAATACTAACACTGCTTTAGTGCTTACTAATGACGGGCACTGAGCTGAATACTTTACATCCATTATTTCATTTAATATTCCAAACAACCTATTGAAATGGGTGCAATTATTATCCCCATAGCTTGGAGAAGTGAAGTGACTTGCCCAAAGTCTACAGCTAGGAGAGCGCCCGCCTGGAATCTGATCCCAGATTCATCTGACTCTGGAGTCTGGGTGCTTATAATTGTACCCCAAGTGAATTGTGTTGTGGCTTGTAGAGTGTTCATGGCTTACTTTCAACTTGTGTGTTCAGGAGATAGAAGAATAACAACCAAACAGGCTCTGTCTTTGGCATTCCAAGCCAGTGAGGAAGCAAAAGGTGAGTGACACAGAGAGCATTTTTCAGTGTCCTAAATTTATCTCAGTGGTTCCTTCATGAAATACGAAGTAGAGAAGCAGGCTTACATCAGCCACCTCGTACAAGGGTCCCGGGATTAACTCACCAAGAACAAGCCTGCCTGGCCTAGAGAAACTGTCTGCTTGTTGGCAGCTGAACTTCCTTGGATGAGGACCTTCTTATCATGGGGTCCAATACTCCAATAGCATCTGACCAAGAGGTGTGGGTTTTATCCACAAGAACTGAGTGTCCTTTGGTAGAAAAGGCTAGCACTCTTATTCTTGACATGCTCGCATACACCCACTGGCAATCATTTCTTGTTGATGGCCAGGGAGGAGCAACTTTTGTTCTAGGTCCTCTCTGCCTTTAATAGGCTAAAAAAGATTGAACAAGAGTCAAAAAGTAGTGGAGAAACGGAAAAAGAGAACTCAAAGTAAGACACTAAACTGGTTGGAAGCCCTATGTAACTGATCTCTTCTTGAGATATACGAACCTGATTATAAACATCTCGGGTTCTTTTTCTTCTCTCTGCCTACCCTTTAGCTTCCGTCCCATGAGCTTCTCTTGCTAACTCTCCTGCAGTGAAGAACTAAATTTCCATTTTCTAAAGTCTGACTTTGCTGTCACTAAATAACCTCATTGATCTCTGAAAGGCATCACTGATTCCTTTAATCAGTTACTGTAGTAAACATAACTGCAAGTCTTCTCATTTGCCTTGAATTCTTGCATAGTCTTCACTTAATTTCCCACTTTTATTATAGCTAGAATTTTTGTCTCAATGCTCTAAGTCTCCTATATTTCTACTTGTCATTAACACCTGATATTTCAGTTCAGTTCAGCTCAGTCACTCAGTCGTGTCTGACTCTTTGCGACCCCAAGAATCACAGCACACCAGGCCTCCCTGTCCATCACCAACTCCCAGAGTGTACTCAAACTCATATCCATCGAGTCGGTGATGCCATCCAGCCATCTCATCCTCTGTTGTCCCCTTCTCCTCCTGCCCCCAATCCCTCCCAGCATCAGGGTCTTTTCCAATAAGTCAACACTTCACATGAGGTGGTCAAAGTACTGGAGATTCAGCTTTAGCATCAGTCCTTCCAATGAACACCCAGGACTGATCTCCTTTAGGATGGACTGGTTGGATCTCCTTGCAGTCCAAGGGACTCTCAAGAGTCTTCTCCAACACCATAGTTCAAAAGCATCAATTTTTCAGCGCACAGCTTTCTTCACAGTCCAACTCTCACATCCATACACGACCACTGGAAAAACCATAGCCTTGACTAGACAGAACTTTGTTGGCAAAGTAATGTCTCTGCTTTTTAATATGCTATCTAGGTTGGTCATAACTTTCCTTCCAAGGAGTAAGCGTCTTTTAATTTCATGGCTGCAATCACCATCTGCAGTGATTTTGGAGCCCAGAAAAATAAAGTCTGACACTGTTTCCACTGTCTCCCCATCTATTTCCCATGAAGTGATGGGACCAGATGCCATGATCTTAGTTTTCTGAATGTTGAGCTTTAAGCCTACTTTTTCGCTCTCCTCTTTCACTTTCATCAAGAGGCTTTTTAGTTCCTCTTCACTTTCTGCCATAAGGGTGGTGTCATCTGCATATCTGAGGTTATTGATATTTCTCCCAGCAATCTTGATTCCAGCTTGGGCTTCATCCAGCCCAGTGTTTCTCATGATGTACTCTGCATATAAGTTAAATAAGCAGGGTGACAATATACAGCCTTGACATACTCCTTTTCCTATTTGGAACCAGTCTGTTGTTCCATGTCCAATTCTAACTGTTGCTTCCTGACCTGCATACAGGTTTCTCAAGAGGCAGGTAAGGTGGTCTGGTATTCCCATCTCTTGAAGAATTTTCCACAGTTTATTGTGATCCACACAGTCAAAGGCTTTGGCATAGTCAATAAAGCAGAAATAAATGTTTTTCTAGAACTTTCTTGCTTTTTCAATGATCCAGTGGATGTTGGCAATTTGATCTCTGGTTCCTCTACCTTTCTAAATCCAGCTTGAACATCTGGAAGTTCACGGTTCACATATTGCTGAAGCCTGGATTGGAGAATTTTGAGCATTACTTTACTAGCGTGTGAGATGAGTGCAATTGGGCAGTAGTTTGAACTTTCTTTGGCATTGCCTTTCTTTGGGATTGGAATGAAAACTGACCTTTTCCAGTCCTGTGGCCACTGCTGAGTTTTCCAAATTTGCTGGCATATTGAGTGCAGCACTTTCACAGCATCATCTTTCAGGATCTGAAATAGCTCAACTGAAATTTCATCACCTCCACCAGCTTTGTTCATAGTGATGCTTTCTAAGGCCCACTTAACTTCACAATCCAGGATGTCTGGCTCTAAGTGAGTGATCACACCATCGTGATTATCTGGGTTGTGAAAATCTTTTTTGTACAGTTCTTCTGTGTATTCTTGCCACCTCTTCTTAATATCTTCTGCTTCTGGTAGGTTCACACCATTTCTGCCCTTTATCGAACCCATCTTTACATGAAATGTTCCCTTGGTATCTCTAATTTTCTTGAGGAGAAGAAGAGAAGATTTTCATCTTTGAAGAAATCTCTCATCTTTCCTATTCTATTATTTTCCTCTATTTCTTTGCATTGATCGCTAGGGAAGGCTTTCTTCTCTCCTTGCTATTCTTTGGAACTCTGCATTCAAATGGGAATATCTTTCCTTTTCTCCTTTGCTTTTCACTTCTCCTCTTTTCACAACTATTTGTAAGGCCTCCTCAGACAACTATTTTGCCTTTTTGCATTTGCTTTCCATGGTGATGGTCTTGATCCCTGTCTCCTGTACAATGTCATGAACCTCCATCCATAGTTCATCAGGCACTCTGTCACCTGGTATTTAGCATCTCTCTAATGCCTTCCTTCCTATCTGATTACTTTTCATGCTTAACTGTGCTTCAGGCTGACATTCTGCATTATTCTTTCTTTCATCACTGTTATATGACAAGAAAATCTTCAGTCATTTAATACTCTTTCTTGAAATAAACCGTAATTTATCTCTGAAGGGAAAAGGCATTATGATGGAGAAGAAATCCTAGTTGCAACCACAAAGAAACAAGGAACAGAGAGTTGGAGAAGCCATCCAAATCTTTATGGAGACAGATTCTGAAGGCTATCGGAGGTAGAAGCGGGGAGCTGAGAAAGAGAAAACAGGAACTTCTTTTTTGAAGTTTTTTTTTAATAATTTGCATAATCTAAACGCATTGGCTCAACAACTGCAATTCATATGAGTAGACTTGATACCTTCTCTGAAAGGCATCACGGATTCCTTTAATGAGCTACTGCAGTGAATATAACTGCAAGTCTTCCCATTTGCCTTTAATTCTTGCAGAGAGTTCACTTAATTTCCCTCCTTTATTACAGCTAGAATTTGTGGCTATAATAGTGGGAAACAGTGGCTCTAATGTGGAGTATGTAAACATGAATAGTAATGGCACTGTCTTAAATGAAAACCTAGCCCAAATGGTCACTGGTGAGAACTCCATGACACTCATCTAGCTAATCCTTTATTCAACACAATACTTAGTGCACGTGGTGGGAGTTTACCATTTACTGGGTACTGCCCTGGGACTGAGCATTTAGCAACAAACCAACCAGTATAGTCCTAACTTCATTAAGCTCATCATCAAAGGGCATGTCTTCATCTACTTTCCTAGGTCTATCAAATTAAAGAGCTTATCTAAGATCTTACAGGATCCCATTCTATCTAATCCCTTCTTATATATCCATAAAAGGTACAGCCATCCCAGAAAACATACTCACTGTGTCATTGTTCCTCAAAACCAGTGGAACCTCATAGACTTCACAGGGAGTGTAGTTCTGAAATATGATTTCTGATGGAAAGGGCTGGAATAATGCCTGATCCAGGTCAATTCCTGGAAACTACAGTTGAAAGAATAAATTAATCATATAATCACAAAGCGGCAGAAATGACTGGAAAAGATAAGAAATTACTACACATACCTATGATTATTAACATAAGAACCAAGGAAACACCTTAAAAGGAGTAACAGATTGACAAACACTGTAAATTAACGCACACGTGTGGAATTTAGAAAGATGGTACTGATGGTCCTACATGCAGGGCAGCAAAGGAGACACAGACGTAGAGAACAGACTTTAGGCTTCGGTGGGAGAAGGCGAGGGCGGGGTGAACTGAGAGAACAGCACTGAAACATATACATTATCACATGTAAAACAGATGGCCAGTACGACTCCAATGCATGAAGCAGGGCACCCAAAGCTGGTGCTCTGGGACAACCCAGAGAGCGCGTGGTGAGGGAGGTGGGAGGGGGTTCAGGATGAGGGGACACATGCATACCTGTGGCTGATTCATGTTGATGTATGACAAAGAACGATCACAATATTGTAAAGTAATTATCCTCCAATTACAATCAATTAATTTTTAAAAAATTCAAAATAACCTATCAATTAGAATTGATAAGTGACTTATCAAGGTCACTGAATAAAAGGTCAACATAAATCACTTATATTTCTTTGTACTAGCAATGAACATTTAGGAAATGAAATTTATAAACAATACCATTGAAAACGACATTCTAAAACATAAAATACATAGGAATAAATCCAATAAAAGATGTGTAAGACCTTTATCTGGAAAATCTACAAACCATTATTGAGAGAAAATAAAGAAACTCTATGGACTTCCCTAGTGGGAAGAAATACAGAATCACTTTATTTTAAAAGAAAGAAAAAGAAAATCTACACTGAACCACGACAGGTGTGTGGAAAATACATTAATATGCATATTTATAGGAAGAGTCCATCATTTAGACAGGCTAGAAGACTCATAGCTGAGAAACTCTGCAGGGAAGAAAAGGCTAACACAATTCTGTCACATCTCCTCCCTTCTTCTCATCTCCCTTCCAAATAAGCACACACATACAATCCTCTTTCATAAAGAGCAGCCCCTAGAATCATGGAGAATTCCTATCAGACTGCAACACTACCAGCCCTGCCTCAACAATAACTACCTGAAAACAGCAAGTCCAGGAAGAATTCCCTTCTTTATTTCAAAGATGAGTGATAATAATAATCACAATGACAAATAAGCCAGGATCTATACAAAAACACTCACCAAAAAAAGGGAAGCAAAGAAAATGTCAAATGAATATTCACTTTTCTGGTTGCCATGAAAATAATAAGAACCTTAACTATACCACTTCATCATAAGCTCAAAGAACATATTGGAAAAAAAATCAGAGCACACAAAGCAAATATTCAAGAGTTCAGGGAAGATTAAACAATCAAAAGCGATGAAAAATTCAAGCACTAATTCAATAAATGCTAATTGAATTTCTAATGCTTTCCATATGTTGAACATACAGTAGTGAACAAAGCCAATAAAATCATTGCCTCATGAAGCTAATATTCTTGAGGAAATGGATAAAAAATAAAAATACATAAAACAAGGTCTGGCAGTGTTAAAGCTATAAAGAAAGCCAAAGCAGGAAAAGGAGACGGAGTGAATGGGGATAGGCAGTCAAGGGATGGCCTCTCTATGGAAATGATTTGAATTGAAGTAAGTCATGCAAAGATCTGAGAAAACAGCATTCCAGTTAGAAGGAATAACAAGTGCAAAGACCCTAGGGTAAGAATTATCTTTGAGTGTTTCAAAAGCAGCAAAAGGAGGTGCAGTTAGAGGAGAATGAGCTGGGGAAGAGACAAAGGAAAAGACTACGAAGGATGCAGGATCAGATGATGCAGGACTTTATCATTATGAGGGTAACAGGAAGCTCCTCGGTAGTTTTCAATATGGAAGCAACATGTTCTAGTTTACATTTTAAAAAACCACTCTTCTTTGTGGAGAACTGATAATGGGATGATCAGAGGGAAACAGGGAGGCCATTTTAGGAGTCTAGATGATGATGGGTTGAACGGGATGGTGGTGGTAGAGGTGGTGAGAAGCGGTGTGATTATAGAGGTGTATTTGTGATTACCAGCCCTTGTTGGATTTCACATAAGATGTGAGAAAAACAGAGGCATCAGAGATAACACCAAGGTTTTTGGCCTGGGAAAACAGATCAGTGGAGGTATTACATGGTGAAGGGAGGAGAGATCATGTCTTTAGGGGAAGAATGTAATGCAAAGATTAGATCTTAAAGATTTTAAGTTTGAGCTGCCAATCATACACTGAGCTGAATATATGATCCAGAGTTCCGGGGCTAGACCACAGTAGGAGATAAAATTATGAAAGTAATCATTTAAAAAACCACTACAATGTTGCAAAGTAATTAGCCTCCAACTAATAAAAATGAAAAAAAAAGAAAGTAATCATTTAAAAGGTGAAATTTAAAACCTCGTTCCTAGAAGGGGCCACCTAAGGATTGAGTGCAGAAGAGAAAGAAGTTTAAAGAGCAAGTATTGGGGAGCTCCAATGTTTAGTGATTAGCAAAAGGAGAAAGAGCCAGCAAATAAAATAATAAAAAAGCAACCAGTGAAGTAGGAAGAAAGCCAAAGGAGTGTGATATGATATCTGAGACAAGAGTGAATTAAAAGGTACAAAAAAGACACTAACTATGCAAAATGCTGTGAGACAACCCAACTGTGTTGAACTGATCAAGCTTAAGAATGAATTTTAAGACATACACACACCTCAAAGTAAGGGATACAGAGGATGCTGACAAATGTAATTACAATGAAATGGGAATGAACAAAGTTTAAAATGGATTGGAGAGGAAATACAAGTTGTAGAAGGGCAAAGAAGATACAACATCTTCACAACTGATATTTCTAAAGAAAAAAAAAAGGCATGACTACTTGATAACCCAAGAAAAGCTTTCTAGCAAAAATATAACAGATATAATATTTTAGGAAAAATTTAGTCACATCCTAATAACGTTGTGCATGCCACATGCATGCTAAGTTTGACTCTGTGCGACCCAATGGTGGACCATAACCCACCAGGTTCCTCTGTCCTTGGGATTTCCCAGGCAAGAACACTGGAGTGAGTTGTCATCTTCTCCTTTAGGGGATCTTCCTGACTCAGGGATTGAACTCACATCTCTTACATCTCCTGCACTGGCGGGCAGGTTCTTCACCACTAGCGCCACCTGGGAAGCCTCCCTAATAAAATCACTGGATATCAAATAAGAATAAACAATCTTTGAGCAAACAAGTTAATATTATAGCTCAGCTGGTAAAGAATCCACCTACAATGCAGGAGACCATGGTTTGATTCCTGGGTCAGGAAGATCCATTGGAGAAGGGATAGGCTACCCACTCCAGTATTTTTGGGCTTCCTTTGTGGCTCAGCTGGTAAAGAATCTGCCCCCAGTGTGGGAGACCCGGGTTTGATCCCTGGTTTGGGAAGATCCCCTGCAGAAAGGAAAGGCTACCCACTCTAGTATTCTGGCCTGGAGAAATCCATGGACTAGGTCTATGGGGTTGCAAAGAGTCGGACACGACTGAGCAACTTCCACTTTCACTTTTTCCTCAATATTCGTCATTTAAAACCAGAAGGTAGTAAAGAAAATGCCTGCAAAGCTCTTATAGGGAAAACAGGTGGCCCAGGAATTGTATATCCAACAAGTCTACAGTTCACCTCTAAAGGCAATAAGCAATTATTGTCAAAGATATAAAATAAAGGAAATACAGTTTCCATAATCTCTTCTTGAGGAAATGAGAAGGGTATGCTGCTGCTGCTGCTAAGTCACTTCAGTCGTGTCCAACTCTGTGCGACCCCATAGATGGCAGCCCACCAGGCTCCACCGTCCCTGGGATTCTCCAGGCAAGAATACTGGAGTGGGTTGCCATTTCCTTCTCCAAGACATGAAAGTGAAAAGTGAAAGTGAAGTCGCTCAGTCGTGTCCAACTCTTAGCAACCCCATGGACTGCAGCCTCCCAGGCTGCTCCATCCATGGGATTTTCCAGGCAAGAGTCCTGGAGTGGGGTGCCATTGCCTTCTCCTGAGAAGGGTATGACTCTCATCTGAATAAGAAACAAATGAAACTCAGGAAAATAAAGTAAAAAATAACTGACTGAGTTAACAGAAGATAGAAGAAAGAAGATGAGATGTGGTACACTAAGAGCCTCAGTCAAAATACATTAAAACACATACACAAACAGTAACACACACAGCAATACACAGTCTGGTTTCAGTTATGCTCTGGGAAAGAAGCAGATAGCCCTTAATGATGATGAACTAGCTTTGGACGAAGCTGTGTTCCCTGCCCTTGAAGTTAGAGGGTGGCTATGGGAAAAAGACGAACCTATGAATAACTAAAGCTGGCAGTGCTCAGAAAAAGAGTAAATTGTATGCATATCCTAGACAGGAGAGGCAATGGTATGCCAAGGAAAGCGAGACAGCCTGAGGCAATCACTCCTCTTGAGGGAAATCACTCTGAAAAACCCTCAGGAATAGCCAGGAACCCTTTGAGAGGTGGGCTAATCTCCAGGAGTTCACCTAAGGGAGGCTCATACCATAATTTGTGCATAAAAACTGAAGCATATAATTCAAGAAATTAAAAGTAGGAAATAAGACCCACTCTAAAAACATGTTCCTAAAGCCTGGACTATATGGTTTACATTCAAATACAGAAACATCAAAATAGCTATTCTTTACAGACTAAAAGGATGTATTTATTATTGGAAATGAGCCAGAACAGACAAAAATGCCTGTTTTAATAAACAATTTCTCCTTCTTCCTTTCTACTAATGACAACTCAGTTAAGCAGGGACTTCTTTTTCTAGAAAGATAACCTAACTGGGCTTGACTAATATAATTCTCAGGATTACTCTTACTCTGTAAACCATAGTGTTCAGAAGTAGCTAAGGAAGAAATGTGGCTAATCAAAAGTTTTCTTGGTATCAAATTATAGATACCAACATCAACAGAGGTAGAAAAAGAATATATAAAACAAATCCAATAAGGGATTAGTTAGCCCATAAACAATAAACGCTGCATAGTTCTTACTGTTTTAGAACAGTCATATTATTCCAGGATCTACTTTTATACACAAATACAACAGAAAGCAGCTACCTTTTGATGTGTTGTTTCCCTCATATCTAAAAGTTCAATGATCTGCGGTCGGCACATCACACGGGTGTTGGCCAGTCTCTGCTCTGTGGTAAGGGACATTTCCTTCAGAAACTCCGAGGGTGTCAGCTAGAATTGAAAACAACAGGAGCTGAAGATTCATAAGTGGTAATACTGAAAAAGTGTTTTTTCTAAGTGCCAGTAATGAATAATTTGTATTTATAGCTTTCAGGATAGTTCTGGAATGCCGTTAAGTTCCCTTATAAAACATTTAAAATAACTAAATAATACAAACAAGTGAAGGACCCATGCACTTCTGAGCTTTCTGCACAATAATTTGAAATGACATATGGTTGCCGTTTTCCTTGTGATTTTAAAGGAATCACACAAAAGAACATGGGGTTGGGGAGAGGAAGGGCAATAAACTGCACAGGAGCATGTCCAGTGAGCTTAACAGTTATGCTCAGAAGAGCATAAAACCCTAGGTTTCTAAAATCACTTAAGGGCTTCAGAGATAAAGAGTCTGAGATATTTCTATTTCTCAACTGAAGTTACAACATGCAAGCAAAGCTTTTGGGTGTTTATCACGCTATACCTGGTTAAAGAGAAGTCCAACAAAATGTAAAGGATCTGAGAAGGGTGACTGCACGGCTTAGGAATGAGTATGAACTTTTTAGAAATCATAAGAGCACATTCATATCTTGTTTCCAAAGAGCTCTCAGCTGATCATCAGATACAATAGCCAGTCACATCCACTTACCCAAACAAGAACATAAAATGCTTTAATACTTTTCTAATCTTACCAGAAAAAATGTCACCTATCATTTAAATAACCCAGCAAGGGCTGACCCAAGACCAGCTACTATTCATTGCTTTGTCTGTATAGTCTTACTTCAGCTGATTAACATTAGCAATCTAAGCCTCTACTTTGATGGATGTAATTTCAAACTTCCCAGGCTTTAAAAGGTATCTATGCTCTGTAGCAAGCTACCATGTGAACTAAACTGAGACTATTTGATATTCTGTTTGATATTCTGAGAATGCCAGGCAGCCCATTGTCATTCTCCAGAGGAGAAACATACTTTGTCTGAGAGATACTTCTCTCAGAGGAGATGCTTTACTCTGAAATGCTCTGATACATTACCATTCGATTTACTTCATCTTCTGCAACCACCTTTGGACTCAGGGGTGGTAAAATCTTGCTTTGGAATCCTTTAAGTGTTCTGACTAACCCCATATGAACAGCCCCCATGGACTCCTCAATACTTCTACTTGTCATTTTTAGCTATTTCCTCTGTTTACCTAAGAATGAAAAAAAAAAAGGTTTAGAACAAATGCAGTTAATTTCTGAATATAGGTCACGTTTTTTGAAGCTTTTTCAAATACAGGAAGGTTTAGAAAAGACTGATCTTCAAAAATACATCCAGTACTTGGAACCAATGCCTCAACTGTAGAAGTCTATTCCATGAGCCAGTCTAGAGTTAGCCTTATCCCAAACTCTGGGATCCCTTTTAGACAAAACAAGTGATTCTGGACTAAGCTCAGGGAAGACATGAAAACACAAGCAGCTCTTACATTTTGGTACTTTTATCTTCCCCAGATAAACAAAAGCTGCTCAATGAATATACTTCATAAGTTTGCCACTTTATCTTCTTATTTGACAATTCTCTCTCATGACACCCTTCAAACAGAATAAATATAAGGCTTCAGGCCTTCACAGCTGGCAGAGAATTGAAAAAGGCAGCACGAGATGATATGGGGAAGACATTTCTGAAAATGTTCTGAAGTTTATAGTAATAAATAAGGCATTAATCAGCCACCCAATACCTCCAAATCAAAGAAATATGACATTTCCCCATTACATATATTTCCTTATACTTCACCAGGACATTTGCAACTCTGGGAATCCATTTATGACTAAGTAGGGGCTTCCCTTGTGGCTCAGCTGGTAAAGACCTGCCTGCAATACAGGAGACCTGGGTTCGACCCCTGGGTTGGAAAGATCCCCTGGAGAAGGGAAAGGCTACCTACTCCAGTATTCTGGCCTGGAGAATTCCATGGACTGTATAGTCAGTCCATGGGGTCGCAAAGAGTCGGACACAACTGAATGACTTTCACTTTCACACTTTCACTTATGACTAAGTAGGGATTTCTATTTTTAGTAATAGCAGGCTAGATTCTTTAACCCTGTGGGGGAGAAATGCTTGATATAACATCAAATAAAAAAACCTTAAAATCATTAAAAGTTCAAAAGACAGTAAGGCATTACCAGACCAAACTGGAAGGGAAAGCAGTGCATAAAGGAAAATAGATATGAATGAAAATGAAATAAATGAAATGAAATAAAGCAATAAAACACCCAAAGAAATGAATATGAAATTTTAAAATAAGAAAAACAATCAGGTAAAAAAGATGGTTGAAATAGAAAACAGCCAAAGAAGTTCTAACATGTTATAACTGGAGCCAATGAAGAAGAAAAATAAAGTACTGGAGGAGGAGAACTAATATTTAAAACTATAATCCAAGAAAATTTTCCATAAAAAAACAAGCAAAAGGGATTGGTGGCTACCCAGGAAGACTGACCCAAAATGAACAACTCTGAGTCATTTCTTAGAAGAACTACTAGAGAAGGCGAGGGTGGGATGTTTCAAGAGAACAGCATCGAAACACGTATATTATCTAGGGTGAAACAGATCACCAGCCCAGGTTGGGTGCATGAGACAAGTGCCCGGGCCTGGTGCACTGGGAAGACCCAGAGGGATCGGGTGGAGAGGGAGGTGGGAGGGGGGACTGGGATGGGGAATACATGTAAATCCATGGCTAATTCATCTCAATGTATGACAAAAACCACTGCAATGATGTAAAGTAATTAGCCTCCAACTAATAAAAATAAATTTAAAAAAAAAAAAGAATTTTTAAAATTAGCATCCAGACAAAAAGTCAAAATAATGTATGAAAGCAAGAGAACTAGATATCATTACACTTTGTAAAAGCAATCCATGAAATGGGAAAACAGAGGAGGAATATTTTCCAAAAACTTTAAAAAGCCTGAACCAGAGATTTTACAAGCAACCAAGCTCGCCTTCCATCATCAAGGCTACAGAAAAGGAGTTTTGAACATGGGAAAGCCCAGGCAATGTTATAAACATGTTCCCTTCCTGAAGAATACACTAGAGAATGGGCTCATCAAACCAAAAGGACACAAATTTAAATGAAAATTAAGAAAAGAAAGCCACAAAGTAGATTAAAAGTATTAACGGTTGTATGAGAGGTAGGAATCAAACCATTTTAGAGTAAAGAAGAATTAAGGGTTTTATGTTAGAAAGCCCCTATGATAGCAGTCAATGATACCTGTTTCTAAGCACTCAGGTATTCATATAATCCTTCTCCCCTTGCGTGTGGGCTGCACTTAGGTATTCTAACAAATATAAAGCAGCGCAAGTGATGGGTGCCACGTGTGAGATCAGCCGTAAAGAGAACGGATTCCCTCTTGGGCCCTGTCTGGCTCTCTCAGATCACCAGTTACTGCCCTGTGAGGACGCTGGTGAGACCTACAGAGAGACTCATGTGGCGAGGAATCAAGGCCTGCCAGCAGCGGCACGGGTGGGCTTGGCGGCGAACTTCTCAAGCTGCCAACAGCCATGGGAATGAGGGCAGGGTCGCAGCCCCAGTTGAGCCTTGAGATGACTGCAGTCTGGGCCAACGGCTTGACTGGAGATGCATGAGAGACCCTACGCAGGAGTCACCCAACCAAGCATCTTCTAGATTCCCGACCTACAGAAACTGGGAAAACACATATTGTTTTAACCTATTAATCTGGGGTAATTTGTTATACAGCAATAAATAAAAATATAGGCACTATAAAGGGTTTACATACAAAGAAAACTGCTGAACATAAAGATTGATGTCCTAAACACCAAAAGTAATTTTAGAAAATGTAAAGATGACATACTAAATAAAGGCTAACAATAAATCACATACAATATACATAATTATTATAAATAGGAAGTGTGATATCACCAACATGGTAGAATAGGTAGTTGTCAACTTCAGTCCCACTCACAAAAAGACCAACTATTAACAGCAATTATTCATAGACAAGATACTTTTGTGAAAATCCCATAACTGAGGGTGAGACTGAAGCACTCCCTTGGATCACAGAGACTTGGAAAAACCTCAAAAACATTTTGTTAATTAAAATGAGCCAGTCACACACACACAAAAATACATATTGTGTGAGTGCATTCACATCAAGTGACCAGAGCAGGACAATCTCTATAGAGAAAAAGCATATTAGCCATTGCAAAGGTCTGGGAGGAATGAAGGGATAGAAGAATGATAACTAAAAGGTATGGGATTTCTTTTTGAAATGAAAATGTTTACAACTGACTATGGTAATAATTGCACATGTTTGTGAGTATACTAAAAACTGTGGATTGTATGTACACTTTAAATGGATAAATTGTATCCTGAATTGAATGTGAATTATTATATCTCAATAAAGCTGTTAAAATATATTTTAAAACATTAAAAAAAATTCAATCCTTAAAGGTTGAAAAGTGAAACAAGTAAACCGTGCTGTATATCAAGTTGGTGTCATAACTACAAAGAGAAAACAATTATTCTAAACAACCTTAAAACATGATTTTTGACTGCTCACTGGATAGTAGTCTTATTGTCATAATATTAGTAATAATATTTTAAAAACAAGTAGCAATATCAATATTGTTAGGAATCAAGCATTTCAACATTTAAAAAAATAAAAACATAAAAGTTCTTATATTAAGAAATACTATAATCTTAAATTTAAATTGCAAATATAAGTTCCAGCTTATGATTATTTTCTCCTTTTAAATAACCTTCCTACTGAAAGACCCTAGAAGCAATAAAAGCTCAGTAAGCGATGACGGTCCCAGGATGTAATGTGGTCTTTAAATACTATTTCCCACTAAAAGAAGCCATACTGCTTAGAGAAGTGAGTAACTCAAGGTCTGGGGCATGAAATGTATAAGACGAACTTGGGACATTCCACTATACTGAAAAACAAGGCCGTTATCAAAGGCTACTGGGGTTGAGTCTAAGGAGCCCAGAGCAACTTGAAGGAGTTTTCATTCGCCAAAGACAGGACAGTTTGGAAAAACAAAAACAAAAGTGTGCAATGAATTCATCTTTAAAACTCTGAGTTCAAAAGGGATATTAAAAAAAAAAAATCACTGGTCACCTTTGGAAGTTGCTAGGACACTAATTATTTTAGAAATAATAACCAGTATCTTTTTTTTTTTTACATGTGGTTGTGATAAAATAAATTAATTAATTAATTAATTTAAAAAAATGTAAAAAAAAAAATAAAGTTAACTGATTACAACTTTAAAAAAAAAAAATAGAAATAATAACCAGGAAGAAACAACCATTTATCCTGTCCCTTTCTGTACAAATTGCATCATAAGTTATCCAAATAGTTTATGAGGGAAAATTATTCTTCATAGACAAACTCCAGCTAATAAATGCAGAAGAAATGACAGAAAAATAATCACCATTTTCAGCCTCTAATGAAATGAAGGATCATCAATGCCAGAACCATTAGGAAGAATGCTGATAAAGAACTTCATAATGGCTCAAACAGGCTAACAACACCTGAGCCCTCTACATCAATCTTAACACTAAAAGTGAAAACCAGGCATATTACGTGCCTGCTGACGTGACGTAGTACACAGCAACACCTGTGCAGCACTATTAACAAAAGTCTTAACCTAAATCTAATTCATCTCTAGATCCACCGGCTAGGGTACAGGAGATCAGGAAATGGAGGAACATGTGTAAGAACATAATTAAGCCATATCGAGAATGTAGAAAATGTGACAGGAAAATGACCCACTTCACTAAACCAGTAAAGAGTGCTTGTGTGCAAACATGACCACCTGAGAGGGGGAGGGGAGGGTAGTTATGAATTAAGAGAATCACTTCAACAATAATGACATACATAGATTACAAGCAAAAGGAGGGAAGAGGTATGTCATGCAAATGTTGGTCAAAAGAAAGCAAGAAGGGCTATAGTAATATTAGATAAAGTTGACTTCAAACCAGAGAAAATGACCAGGAACAAAACCAGACATTATGTAATGTCAAAGGGTGAATCTACCAAAAAGACACAACAATCATAATCATAAATGGACCAGACAATTTTTAAAACATATGACTTGATCCAAGTTTCAAAATATATGATGCAAAAAATTAAAACTAGACAAATCCACAATTGTAGTTGGAGACTTCAACATTCCT